CAAAATTTGTAATTGCCAGATCTTGGAAACAATACAAATGCCCATCAACTGAGGAACAGATAAAAAAAAAAAAAAAGTGATATTTTTATACAACGGAATATTATTCAGCCACAAACAATAACAAACTTGAGGCTTTTATATGTAAATGATGCAACTGGAAACCATATTCATAAATGAAATAAATCAGACTTCCATGTGTAAACACCATATTGTCTCACTAGTATAAAACACTTTAAAAGTAAAGAAGATCCAGGAGTTACAATAGATATGGTAAAAGGGAAAGAAACTGCTTAAAGGGAAATTATATTTTGATCAGTTATGCATCCCTGCATTTGGTAACCTGAGCAACTATTTTGAAGATAATATGTGCAGTGCATGTGCACAGCAGGCAGCCCCAGCACGTGACTTGGGACTGGGTGAGTGGCTTGGTGGCTCGGTCTCCATCTGTCCTTCTTCGGGTGCCATCATGGCGGATGCGGCCAGTCAGATGGTCCCTAGCTCGGCTCTGGTCTCACCATCCTGTCCCAGCTGCGCATATAGCATAGTGTGAATATGTTTCTAGTAGTTTGCATGACAAAAGAAGTCTAAGAAGTGGTTGAGAAACACACTGAATACCTAAATTTTAAAAAGTGGTACAGTAAAAGCCACGTTAATCCTCCCCAAATACTCATCCATTAATTGAACCGATTTATGTCAATGTTCTTGGTAGTTGCTGAAGCATTTCCAAGTTCTCTTTTGTGGCTGTTTTTAGTTGTATTATTAATTCTGCCTCAGTGTCCTGATTCAAAAGGTTTAATTTCATGGTCATTTTGGGAAGAACCAGAAGTGGCACAGTACCAGATATGGTGACTAAGATAGATGAGGGCACACTCTAATGCTTTTATTTGACAGAAAATTGCCCTGAATGTTCATTCAATGAAGTGTATTCAGAAAAGGCCTTGACTGTTTAAATTTGAAAACAGTTAATGCAGTAAAGAGACATTGTTTCCCTAAAAGTAAGCTCCCACACTTTGAACACCCTTGCACCATAGTTCTTAATAATGTGTCTTTTAATGGAATTTTTAAATTCTTAAGTATTCAATGCAGTTTTCAACCACTTGTGTATTTTACAGAAGAATGAGTTCTAAGAAGTATCAGAAAAATCTCCTGTGCTGCAGCAAATTATGATTTTTGAGTGCTCAAGGATGTTTGGAAGTTTATAGTTGGGCAACGTAAATCCAGAATACCTTCCAAAAAATTGTATTTGTGTATTTCCTTCCAAGCTGTATTTTTTCTGTTGTATATGCATTCTTTTGAAAAATATTTTAATTAAATATAATCATTATATACCACTGTGACAAATATATTACGTCTTATTATTTTGTTTGTTTTAAGAAAGGACAAATATGGTTGTATCCAGAATAACAAAAAGTCAGGATCAAATATAATCTCAAATAATAATACAACAAAATGTATTTTACATGACAAAGCATTATTTTAGTATTTAAAAAGTATTTTCTTCACCTCTGGAAAATTATCTTTTTACTGTTTTATTCATTTTTCTTCTTAGAAAATTGCCCATTTCCTAATATTCATGAATGCTTGAAGTTTCTCAGTGTTTTACTCAGTCACTAACTTTTTTAATAAGAGAAACAATTTAGTAATTTTTAAAATTGTAGCTACACATTTAAAACTCAGTTCTGAGATAGTTTAGCTTATCATCAGCCTGCTTACAAAGAGAAACCCGTGTTTTCTTTTGCATTTTAATTTCTCCTTCTTGCTCCCATCATTTCTGCAGTTGTAAGGCTCCCGTCACTCTAGATAACAATAGCCTTCCATCTTACAACTACAAGTTAAAAAAAAAAAAAGAAAAGTGAGAATAAAATAAATGTGTCCTACTGTATATATCGCAATGTCCTTTTAATACAGAAAAAAAGTTTGATGTTTTTCTACAGATTTGGAAACTAACAATTGGAAAATCATGCATTGATACTTGAAAACTAATAAAGAGAAATGTATCCCATGTCACTCTTCTCATTAAAGATTGAAATTATAATTAAAAGAAGAGCTTTTTCAAATAGGAAGGGGAACAAATAGAGGATGCATAAAGGTAAGGAAAGGAAAGATGTTTAAAACAGAGAACTGAAAGAAAAATAATGGAAACCGACCTGTGAATAGGGAGAGGAAAGTAAGTTTAAAGGAGGAAACGGGAATAGGAAAAAAAGAATTAAGATATAGAAGGTGGAAGTATAAATTCTCTGTGATGAATATAATCATTGTGTCTGGCAAACATAGTAATAATTTTTTTTAAAAAAAGAAGTGATATGAATTATAAAGTGTTCTAAAAACTTTATTTAAAAAATTGATACAATAGAGTGCTCATGTGCTAATTTTCATCATAAATATGCATTATAATGTCCAACTATTATTTATAAGGGGATAGAAAAGTGACTTCTGGGAATTGTCCATTACTATTGCAATATTGACGAACATTACCTAACAGTAACGGGCTCCCAGCCGGTGTACTGAGTTGAACTGTGCTGAAATGCTGCCAGCCAAGGGGCAGGTATTAAAGCGCAGAACAAATGGCTGAACAGGGGCCTAAAAGCTGCGATCAGGAAAGGTTCACTTAACATAGAGACGGCACAAGTTTCGAGCAATTGCCTTTACTTAGTAAGTGTGGAATTACAAAAGGCTATTTATTACAGGCTGAAGGGGCCCTGCAACTTGCTCAAAGACCTTTGAAGAAATTCAACAGTTATAAACTCTCTCTCAGTGCAGAAGCAGTAAAACCTGGGCAAACCCCCAAAGCAGCCTGCAAAGTTTCCATTAAAAAGTTAGTATAATCCTTGTTATAATAATTGTTCTCCAAAATGACTTTTTCTTTCAATTATGTTTTAAAGGAGAGATACTGTATCTGGTTATTTTTCAGAATTTCTTTAAAATGTATTTTATCCATTTGGAAAAACAAAACAGTTTCATGAGGGTAAGGTATTAAACCCAAGGCTTCAAAAGTTTAGAAGGAATGTATTCCAACATTAAGTTTCTTTGAAATGGTTTGTGAGCACACATTAAAAGTTACACTGTTAATGGATTTACTGCAGCAGAAAAGTTAGTGGGATTTCTCCATTGTTTGTACAAGAAAAAAACTTGGTTACAGGACACTGGTCCATGTTTTTTCATTCACAATTGGATAATAAATTGATTACTCTAAGGATTAGAGTAAATTAAAAGAAAATTCTCAAATATTCAACATTCTGGTATTAATTTCAGTGATATGTTTATAAATATCAAGTATGTTTATAAAATATCATGAATATGACTTAACTTTGCTTGGAATCAACTTCAGTGTGGCAAACCACAGGAATGGGCAATGATAACAATTTGAGAGCTGAAACAGAAGAATACTGAATAGATTACATGTATATGAAAAGTAAATGACATTAATGTACCTAAATGGATAATAATTGCTAAAGGAAAAAATTAAAAATAAAAAATGAATTTATTTTTCCACTCTAAGAGCAAAATCTACATTTTTCCTTGGTATAAGATTAAATGGTCATTTCCAAACTATCAGAATAACAGTGCTTCAATTATAAAAGACTTTAGAGAAACTTAAAAGCAATAAAAACAGATGAGGGGGAAATGTATGTCAATGAATTCTCACTGAAGTGTCACAAATCAGGATAAATGCAGAAAATCTTATTTTAAGGGAGAAATATAAGTGAAAAGAAACTATAGATATAAACAGCTTAAATGAGTTTGGATGAAAATGTTATTTTGTGATAATCATAGCCATCTTGTGATAATCAGATCAACAAGTAGGAACCATTACTGCCAAATTTTGTGAAGAATGTCCCAACATGTGTTCAAAAAATAACTGATTTGAGCAAATTTATAAGAAATATGTTATTGAACAATGAAAATAATCTAACAGTTACTATCTCTAAGAATCACAAGCTTTGGTTTTGTGTTTGTGATTTGGTTTGCGGTGTGCCATGAGGGCAAGATGCCACTGCACTCCTGTGAGAAGATAGTTTGCTGATGAGCATGTACCAAACTGTGATTTGTAACCAGAAGTATATTGGTGAATACTGTGTACTTTCCTTTCTAATGATAGAATTTGAGGTAGGAAATCCCTAAAAAATGTAATCTTTATTTAGAAATAAAGAAATCTAAACCAAACAAATTTTAATACATATTCAACACATATGAAAATATATAACAATATAGCAATATAGTCAACATTAAAAAAGATACTTAAAATATGTACAGATGAAGGTAACACATATATAGCAGGCATTTTCTTATATTTATCACATATTTCCAAATAAAAATGTAAAAGTTGATTGTTATTACATATATATATATATATATATATATATACATGTATATACACATACACACATATATATGCATATACACATACACATACATATATATATATATATGCATATATGCATCAGGGTATTTTTTTGGCCAGGAGTCAATATTTACTGTAATATGTCCTAAATCAATTGATTTTTCAATACACTAAATATTATTACCTGTAGACACCATGGGACTCCTTCTGCATAATGAATTCCAGTCGTCTTACAGAGTTGCATATGAAAATGTTATCAAAGAGTTTCAGAATCTGGATTAATAATTTTGCAGCATTATAACAAATAGGTAGTCCTGATGTTGTGTTCTCTTTTTAGTATATAAAATATATTTCATTGCTTACATTATAGTAGCAGATTAAAAACATCTGCTCACCTGCCACTAGTCCACCAGCAGCAGAACATCTCAGTTTATTCTCCATAGGCTGCATGCACTGGGGCTATAATTCAGCTGCTAGGACTGGATATGGGGGAGATTAATACTCAAGAGCCTTGGAAATGGAAATAGTACTTTCTTGCCAAGATTAGACACTGATAGACTCCGTTTGCTTGTTCGCTTCTCCCTCTGCTCTCGTCACCACCCTTCCAAATTTAATAACTTGTTTTTTTCCGCTGTCCTTTCCATTCCTCTTTTTACAGCTCCATCACCTGTCATGACAATTAAGAAAGATCGGACGTCCAGAAACAGCATCTCTTTATCCTGGCAAGAACCTGAACATCCTAATGGGATCATTTTGGACTATGAGGTCAAATATTATGAGAAGGTGGGGAAACAATGTTACAAGCTTGAGTTTACTTTTTTTCATGAGCTGTGCTCTTGCAAAGAAATCAGTGATACGGCTAAAAAGTTTCTAGAACTCTACTGAGAACCATGGTGAAGTGATCTCTTATTTATAGGAAGAGTAAGGCTTAGAAATTGTGCTGTCAAATGTCTTCTATTTTATAGCAATAAGCAACATCAAAGATGCCACTTCCAAATTGAAGCCAGTTAATTACAATAGACCACACATTTATGTCCTTTCATTCTAAGATCTTTGCTCCACTAACAGTTTTTATTTTGGGGTACCGGAAATCAAACTCACAACCTTGTGCTTGCCAGGCAGGTGCTTGTGCACTGAGCTAAATTCTCAGCTCCTGTAACAATGTTATAGTGATGCCTTAATCTGTTGATGAACTAACCATCCTTTAATTCATTGCCTCAAGCACAATTCTCTGACCCTCACATTCACGTGAATTTCATTTAACACAGATAGGGAAATTGGCATAATTTTAACAAAAGCATTGACTTACTGAACTAATAATGAAAAGCATTTTTGACTGTGGAGAGGAAAAATTAGAAGTTAAAGGTGGATAAATAAATTTCTGTCACATCATAAAACTGTGGTTCAGTAAGGCAATTATTAAAAACAAGTTTATGATTATACATGGAATTCAGAAAGTGACATTTTATCATTCTAGCACTTATTTCCTCTTTTTAAATTATAAAGAAATTTGAAAACATGATATATTTGAACTTTATCATCAGATGCGGTTCTCTTTATAGTTATTCATGAGAAAAATATATTTGTTTATCTGCTGCAGTTTATGAAATATTTTAAAGTGGATTACAATCAAGTGCATTTATATAGCGGTTTACATTTACAGAATATTTCTGCATGTATTATTTAAATATGAGCTACATGACAATCCTGTGAAACCTGGTAAATAGATTCCTTCAAAAATAACAAAATTAAGAGTCATTGACATTGGTTAGATTCCTCATAGCCTCACTACTAATAAACATTAGGTTTCTGCTTTGAATCCTGGCACCCATGATTTCCCAATTTAGTATGTGCAGCCTACCCCACACTATGTACCTCCTTTGACGTAAAAACCGATTGTTAGAACTGTAAGAGCCAATAACTGATCATGGGGAAATACCAGTTATACTGAGGAACAGTGTATAAACATAAAATTTTGCATAATGTATTTAATCTTTTCATTGAAATTAATGTATTTCACAAGTATGACTTCATGTTTTTTATACTCCTTGTTACTGAGAAAAATGTGTCTTTTCATTAGAAGAAAATAAAGTCCGGATAAATTTAATCATGCCAAAATCACAGTAGGGATAAATTTTGTTGTAGCCAAATGCTAATTTGTCTGTGATTTCCTATTTTTGAAAGTATTACAAAATATGCTGTGCATATTTAAGATTCCATATTTTATTGACCACCCAATAAAATGAAAATAAAATTAACTTTGTACTTCAGACTAGATAGAACAAGGAGAAAAATAACTTTAAGTTTGTGAGGCTGATTCTAAAATGCAGTTGATTTATATTCATACTATTTGCAAACATAAAATAATTTCTGAACTTATTTAAAGTTCTACCAACAAAATATATATTATTATTATTTTTAAAATATATTGACCAATTCAAGGCAAAACCATCCCCTAAATATTTTTAAATTTGATGAAGTGAGATGTTAAATATTATGAATATATTCAATATCATATATGTGTATATATTTTCAGCAGGCAGACATGCACTGAGTAATTATTCACAAATGTACATATGAGTTTTATAAATATTTCGAATACTTTGTTAGAATTTTAATTCCCCAAGATCATTCTTTATTGATTGATTCTCTCATGATAATGAACAGTGACTGATCCTGAATACTTGCTCAATAACTTTTTAATGACTGAAATACTGTCATTATTTATAGACAAATGATTTCAACGCTCTTCAGTATTTAACATAGTTATTCAAATGTTACCTAACATACAGCCAACATCTGTAGCTAAGACATCTATAATTAATATGTATATATATAAGAAGGAGAATAAGACTTCATAAATTCAATTTTTATGGACAAAGCTTGGCACAGACACCTTACTGTTAGTGAGCAGCGTGTAAATATGCTATTAATTGAATAGAAGAGATCATGGGGAAATAGTCCTTAAATTTGTTAGGAAGATATTTGTTTCTATGAAGTGGCATTGATTCAGAGTAAGTACAACCCAAATAAAGTAATATTGAGACACTTTGAGACACATGTTTAACCTTAAGTTTTTATATTTAATATTTGAATAGTGATAAAAAATTCTGTATGAGACTCAGTAGGATTTTCCTATTAAGGTAAATTGAAAGCCATATTTCCTTCAATTTATTTTTGAATTTAGTTGCAAGCTTTCCCGAAAGATTGCCTTTAAGGAAATATATTGTCATACACATATTCAGTATTTAGTAAGGATAAAATCTAACTTAACAGAATATGACTCATTACATGCCAATTAGAAAGTTCTGTAAATATTTCCTTGTTAAAATAATTCATCTATTGTATCCAGATCATAAAACAACTGACATCATTTTTCATCCATCGTATGCTCTACATTTAAATCTTAAAGAAATGACTTTGAGTGGTTCATTGTTTATCAATTGACAGCATAAAGAAGGTTTGGTATTAACATGATTTTTTTTTTCCTACCTCAAAGCAGGAACAAGAAACAAGTTATACCATTTTGAGGGCAAGAGGCACGAATGTTACCATCAGTAGCCTCAAGCCTGATACTACATATGTATTCCAAATCCGAGCCCGAACAGCAGCTGGATATGGATCCAACAGCCGCAAGTTTGAGTTTGAAACTAGTCCTGACTGTACGTATTACTTCACTTTCTTGGTAGTGTGAAAGGTGTTGCAAATAACATTCATATTTTGCTTTCACTCTAAGTATTAATCAAGTGCCATTCTTTGAATACATATTGTTTAAAACCTTTAGCAATTTGCATAACACGTCTGTGTATTTCTGTTTATGTGGGTATGCATTTAGTTTTTGTTTTTTGTGTTTGTTTTTTCCTTTTACAAATCAAACCCTTTCTAGTGCTTGGAATACTTCTGGTTTTCTGCTAACTATAAATTGCTTTTGAGGAAGATAATTTCATATGATTAAAAGTCCCTAGTGCCTGTAAATCCAGATGTTCCAATTCATTGCATAATTCAATGAACTACAAAAAAGCAACTTGGTCATGAGACTTTTAATTTTGTTTTAATTCTTAGCACATTCAATCACATTGGACAACAAATAAGGAATTTCTAAAATGTGTTTTATTATTTCATTTGCATTTGCAATCAAAAGCAGTTAGGGCAGCCTATTTTATCCAGAGTTTGACCAAAATTGACAAGTATTATTTTTTCAACAACTTTTCCATTCCTTAAATTCATTTGCTTCATATTTTGAAATTCCTTGGCCAAAACAGACTAAAAAATAGACTTTGAGAAAGGTAATATCATGACTTTACTTACTAATATTAAATGAATTTACATTAAGTATTTTATTTAACCTATTAAAGTGGAAACTTATACATGATTAGACAAATTTTAAAGAGATCCATACATGCATATACATACATATTTCTGTGAGTATATATATATATAGATAGATAGATAGATATAGATAGATATAAAATCTAATTAGAGTTTGACATTAGTATTTCTAAGTCTTTCTGCAATGTTTAAGTATTGCAAAGTTTCATTAAAATAATTACAAATTGAGTTTTTCAAAATAATTAAAGGGTATTTGAATTATCAGCAACAAGAGCATCTGTATTTGATATAGTATCAAGGATGCCAAATAATAGGAGTAGGTAGAGCAAATATTCATGATATTTTGTGGTAGGAATTGAGGATGAGAAAGGTGAAACACCATTAGGTAAATATTTTTAATGTTGATGCAGATTTAGAATATCTATGTAAAGGTACATGATACTGAACAGCACTTAATGTTAACTGATAAGTAAATTTACAAAATAAACAAATTCCAAAATTTTAATGTAAAAATAGATTAACTACAGATACCTGAGACAACAACTATGCATGAACTCAGTGTGGGAGGGTTCAGAAAACAACAGTTTAGCTGTTGAAGTATAGTTTAGAGACAGAGTATTTGCTTAGCATATGTGAGGTCGAGTTTGATCAGCAGCACACACACCTGTACACAAACAGTCACAGAAACTGTCAGTGGAAAAAATTGAATTCAGAGTTCTTCATACTCGCAAAAGCAAGAAATAATGTAAAAGTTAAAAGTGGGGAATTTGCAGCTGATGTGCCTGTATTAGCATGAACTCGACAAGTCAATTCAATGCTCTATGCATCTATTTCTCTCCTTGGAAATTTGAAGTCATATGTATAACTCACATAGACTCATAGCTTGATGACAATTAAATTATTCACTACTTCTAAAGTGCATAAAATAATACTATCTCATACAGCAAGTACTCGGTGTGTACAGTGAGAATGTCTGTGTCTGTGTACAAGCATGTGTGTGCATGGCTTAGTTCGCTTTGTGCTGTTACCACAATGTATCTGAGAGTGGGTAATTTTTAAGGAAAGGGAATTTATTACTCACATATCAGGAAGGTATAAAGTCCGAGATCAAGGCACTGGTGTTTGGAAAGGGCCTGATTCTGTGTCCCCATATATTGGAAAGTGGTTGGTCACAAAGGAATAAACACTATGTGCTCATAGGATAGAAGTGTATAGAGAACAAATGCACTCCTGCAAGCCAGACTAGGTCATTAAGCTTCATTTCCCAATACTGCTGCATTAGGGCTCAAGTTTCCTACATAAATTTTTGGAGGAGACACTATAGCAGTGTATATGTGCGTGCATTGTTCGTGTTTAATAAAATAGTCCATAACTTGAAGATTCAAAGCATTAAAAATACAAAAAAATCTGTGAACAAGCTGAGCATTGGAATCAGAGAATTCCATTCAATATTTCTATCCAAGAAAATAATCCCTAAAGACAATTAGGATTCCTAAATGCCTCACACCTTTACTTTGTTTCTAGAGTGTGCATCAGTTTGAATCCTTTGGACTGTACAATTATGATTCATTAAAACAGTCTGTCAAAAGGACAATAGAATCATTATATGAAAATGTTTATACCAAAATAGAGAATTTCATATGGAATAGAGTACTATAATAAAATACAAGTTGTTCATTCAGAATTCACTGTCTCTCATGTTTTAAATGTTTTAGTTATATTAACTTCTTTAATCTTCAAGCAACCACTTTATGTTACATAGCACACAAGTATAAATCTAGGCATTCAGCTCACTAGAATGAGCTCATCGCTGTAACCACTCTTCTTTCTAGAGACTAAGCCCACAGTGTATGTCTGATAGATTAAAATGAAAGTGAATAGGAACAATGAAAATAGATGGCTTGTAGGAAAATAATTCAGATTGAATTACTAAGAAATGAAGCAGTTATTAATGGTTAGCAACATAACACATTAAATTATGAGAAAACTAAATACAGTACAACAATATTATGAATTCAGTTTACTAATTTTAGTGACAAAAATGATCTAATTGGTTATGGGTTTTATTCTTTAAGGTTCATATATATATTTAGAACTAGAAGAAACTATGGAGAAATCCTTGATCTCATATCTGACAAAAAAAGAAACATAATTCTTTCTTACATATTTTCCTGTCAGTTCCATTGAGTTTTCTTTTGTAAACTGCCTAAATTCTATAAATTTTCTTTTGTAAACTGCCTTAATTTCTATAAATTACTACAATATACCAAATGAATAGTGTGAGATGGGCTTATTATTGTATGTTAATGGAACATTCTTGAAACACTGAGCTAATCAACTTTTACAAACAAGTCCAATATTTATAGTCAAAAGATAGAGATGTATTAGATCAATTCCTCTGGGAATCAGATACCAAAGTAGAATTGAATGAGCAAGAATTCTATGGGCAAAGAATTAAGAAGTTAAGAGGTAGGGGGAACAGAGATACACAACAGCCTCAGGCAGAGATGAAAGTGTGCTGTTATGACTTGTGTTTAGGAATTCTTCCCAAAGCCTCATGCTGTCATAGGTGGGGCTTTTTGGAGATAGCTGGATGGACATTGTGTGATGCTTGGTTAAGTGTGTGATCCTTGAATCAAGGGTATGTAATTACTACATTAGTCTACTAACTGATTTCACATAGTACCGGGTGTGATAATGAGAAGGCCCATCCTGGATGTCATTGCTAACCACCTTAAGAGCATAAAGGCTGGATAGAATATTAGGGACAAAAAAATTGATTGCTGTTGTCCTTTGCTGCTGCTTCATAGCTATTTTGGTGGTTTTCTGCCTTCTGCCCACAATGAATTATTTCTTCTCTGGGATGCCCCCCTTCCCACCAAGCCACCCTGACTTAGAGCCACACAACAGAGGACTGAAGCCACTACAAACTGTGAGGGGAAAAAAATCAACTTTCCTCCTTTAATTTTTGGTTGGATATTTGGTACCAGAGAAGTAGAATCATTACTGTGACTGTACCTGACTGTGTGGAATTGGCCTGTGGCAAGAGTTTGGAAATGTTTGCAGATTCTGACTGAAGAAGCAGCTGATCTGTATTTGATGGGAGATTCAGGTCAGAGTTCAGAAGATGAAAATGCTGATAGAAATGCAAGTGGTAAATACTAGTCTCAAGAGTTTTCTGTTGGTAAGAAGCAGTGTGATGGGTTTTGGACTAAAACAATGTGTGTTATGCCTTCACAGAAAGTTGGTTTGTACTATACTTGTGTGCAGAGACTTGACCAGAGCTCAAGATGAAGGGCAGTGGGTTACTGCAGAAGAAGTTTCAAGACAATCTAATGTTCAGGAGGCAGTGACGTACAACTGTAAGGGGATTTTAGCCAAATATATGTTGAGAATCAAGAGCAAAGAGCCCCATAGAATGATTTAAAATGTAGTGAGGCCATAAGGGAAGCTCCAGTAAGCTATGAATTGAATAGCAGAGTAGAACTTGGTTGCTGAGAAGGGACAGGAAAATGGAAAAGATAGCTTCAGGACATCACAGCAAATAGCGGGATTTCAGCCTGTGCAGCTTCAGGGTTGCAAATTTGAAAGACTGCCTTGAGAAAAGAGCTCCAGAGCACAGTGTTCCAGAATGGATGTGTTCCAGAAAATTTGTTCCTTGGGATTGAGTTTAAAGTATACAGTGATGCAGCCACTCAGCCCTATAGCCAAGAGAGAACAAGGCCTGGTTCATGCTACAGCTGGCAGCAGACATTGGCATCGTCAATGTGGTGCTGGTTTTAAGTGCATGAAGAATGCAGGAGTTGTGAGATCAGGAAGATTTCTACCCAATTTCAGAAGACCCGAGAGCTCAGGAAGTGTGCCCCTGAGAGTGCAGTGTGTGCAGCTGCACAAGGCTAAAGTAGCAGTGGGGATCACAGACGTTTGGAGAAGCCAGAAATATGGTTTTTATGAAGAAAACTGCAGCAAATCTGACCTAAGAGAGAAGCTCTGGGAGCTATAACCAGTTGCAGTACTGAAAGGTCAGAGACACCAAAGTCCTTCTCTGTTCACATCTTGTCACAGACTGCCTCAGATGCAGGACATGGAACGATAAGATTTAATGTTTGCTCTGCTGGATAATGGACTTTCTTTGGTCCCATTCCTTTTCATCCTTCTATTCAGAATAGGAGTGTTTACTGAAAGTGTATACTGGATTGTATACTCCATTGTATACTGGAAGTGTTTAACTTCCTGTTCATTTGTACAGGTACTCACAACTAAGAGTTCGCCTTAAATCTCAGAGGAGAACAGACAGAGTTTTCACCTATGCTGAAGCTATTCGCACTTTGACAACTCTCAGAAATGAACTAAATTTCTTTTGTATAAAGGGATGTGCATGTGTTTTTGGATGTCCAGATGTCCAACGTTGTAGCTTGTGTCTAGATGCACCCATAAAACCTCACACTTTCATGGGTGACACTATTCAGAAAAGGCTGGATCTACAGTGTGTGGTGCTGGAATTAAATGCGTGAACCTGTGATCAGGGGTGTCTGATTATTAAATTAGTCTAATAATTGGTTTGGCATATTTCTGGAAATGGATAATGAGAAGGCCCACCCTGAATGTGAGTACCTGCCACCCTTAAGGGCACGTAGCCAGTATGGAATACAAAGGATAGACAGAAGGTTGTCCTTGTCCTTTGTAGCTGCTTTTTTGCTCTTTTCCTGTCCTCCACCTGCCAAGGACTGTATCTCCTCTCTGATGCCCATCCCCCATGCCACCCTGCCTAAGAGCTAGCAAACTATGGGCTAAAACTTCTACAAACTGGGAGCCAAAATGTTCCCTCCTTTACCTTTGATGGTCAGATATTTTGTCTCAGCAACAAGAAAAGTAACAGAGACATTTTGTCATCAATTAAAAGAAAAAGTAAAAGAAGAAAAGACTGGGAATGAAGAACCTCATAGGGTAATACAATTCCTAATAGTTTTGGACATCCCAACAGAGAGCAGATCAACCATTTCCAGAATCTTGTGTGAGATAAGAATAGCCAGAGTCTAAGACCTCTGGCTCTGCCTGCTTAGTGATTCAGGGGAACCTGGCCCGTGCCTGTAGTCTGCAGTGAACCTTTAAGAAAAGCTGAAAGCTTTCTGGTCTTTGGGCTTTCACAGCAAGGATTTCTGAGCTGCACTTTGCTAACCACTACAGTAGTGTAAAAATAGCTAGTAGTACAGGATAAATTGCTTGCTATATTTCACATTATGCTATCACATTTGGTATCACTCTTAGGTCCTATTTTAAATTATGAGGAGATTTCTAATATCCTGTCTTCTCATGTTTCTTTTCTTGTATTTTTAAAATCTACCCTTTAAATGATCTATTTTGAAAAAAATATTTCAGACTCAGATGTATTTAGGTTAAAAATTAATTATTGGTTCCTAGTGAGGTAAGAGTATTCACATAATTAATCTACGGGTTTTTAAAAATCACAATTTGTTAATATATTCAAATAACATTCTCTACAAAAATGCCATGTGCAAATATAAGTATTTGACAGGGGTGTACCAGGAATTGTTTGGATTTTAGAAAGTATGATGATTTTAATGTTGATGGAGTTTATAACAGGTGAAGCTAAGAATTTAGATAGCAAGCTGATCCTAAATGGCTATCTGTTAGCCTTACTGTAAAATTTGCATTTCGTTTTGAGATTGATAAAATACTTTGTAAAAATTTGATGCATATGAATGACTGTCAAATTCATGGTTTAGGTTACTTAAGTGGTATAGTAAAGATTAGGAAAGGCATATGTATAGAAACGAATTAGGAATTCCTAATTATAATGCAAAAGTGAAAATGTGAATATAAATCAGTAGATTAAAGGGAGTTTACTAAGTGGAGCAAGATCAGGAGAGGTGGAGGACAAGACTGTTTTTTTTTTTTTTTTATAAATTCCCCCAAATAGTTTATTTGTACATTAAACTTTGAGAAGAGTGGTTTGGGTGAAGGTCTGGTCTGTAAAGGGCCAGGTACATATTTTAATCTTCATGCCCTTACAGTCTCTGCTGCTACTGCACAGGCTTGCATAAAATCAGTCATACACAAAGAATGATTGTGTCTGGTCCAATAAAACTCTGCTCCAGTAAAACTCTATTTATGAACAATAAAAATTGAATTTCATAGAATTTTCATTTCACCAAACTTTGTGTGTTTGTGTGTGTTTTAACTTTTTACAACCGTTAAAAAATGTAAGAGCTTTCTAAGTTCATGGGATGTATAAAAAATAGTAACTGTTCAGATTTGGCTTCTGGCCATTTTTATTGACTTTCTGAATGAATAATTAGGCCATTTAAAAAAGTCCAGAAACAGGTATAGTTTGCATGTGGTATATATTGAAGTACATAAGAGTATGTTTTTACTTTTTAAAATTTAAATTTGCTTTTGTAATTAACAAACTAAATGTGTGTGTTTATGGAGTAAAATATTAAGTTTTGAGAAATGTCCACAGTAAAATGACTATATAAAATAATTAAAGTATCTATCACCTACTTTCTTTCTTTCTTTTTTTGGAATGAGATTACTTAAAAGCTTCAAATAGTCAATGTTACTATTAACTATACTCACTTTGCCATGTAACAGATTCTGAAAACTTATTCCTAAATGAAATCTTGCACCTTTGGTTAATTTCCATTCTCATCCCTTGTCCCAGTTCTGGTAACCACACATTTCTTCTCTACTTTTATAAATTTGAATTGTTATGATTCTTGCAGTAGGGATAACAGTATTTATCTTTCTGTGTTTAGTCTATTTCACTTAGCATGATGTCTTCCAAGGCCATTCATGTTATAACAGATGAAACATCACTGTTTAAAATAAGCACAGATATCAGAGGCCAAATAAGATTCATTAGAAAAGATTTACATTTTTGCACTGGGAAACATTTATCTGCCAATTCTATTTATCCGATAATTTTTGGTTTATCCAATGAGTTTCTTGCCAAGCAGAACAGAGACCAGTCCAGCAACTTTACAATAGGCAGTCAAATATTGTTGACTGATGGTTCAAAACAGAATATGTATTGTTAAATGTGAACTGGGCAAAAATATCAAGTAAAATGATAGGAATACTTTTATAGTAAATAAAGAATTATTCAACATTGTAGCAAAAGTTAAATGACATTTGAAATAAAAATAGAATATGGTAGATTTGTAAGGTGTGCCATATACATGTTAGTCATGATATGCTAATGCTTGTCCTTTTTTTGTGTTATGTCTTGACATCTCACAGCTTTCTCCATCTCTGGGGAAAATAGCCAAGTGGTGATGATCGCTATTTCGGCAGCAGTAGCAATTATTCTCCTCACTGTCGTCATTTATGTTTTGATTGGGAGGTGAGTTCATGGTCTGTTTCATTATGTATTTTCATTATAGCTTCCTTTGCTGCCTTTAGTTGCTGCTAAAATCTGTAGTGGGTCGATAAAGTTTATTAACAAATAAAAGTGCCTCCATTGATATTCTAGGTCCTTTCTTTTTCCCCTCTATCCTCAGTTTCAGTTTTCTTTTCTCCATTAACTCCTGCCTCCATGCTCTAACATACCATTTTCCTCTTTTGACTCTACTACTAATTTCTAGCGTCTTTTTTCAATTATCCCCTCGCTTTTCAAATAAGCCCAGATTTCCTTGACACTTTCTCACCCAAAACGTGGGTAACACAGCCCAGCAGTAATCATTACCTAAGGAGACTTTACCTTCATTCACTCAAACAGTAGTTGTTAAAAATACTATAAACACATTCTAAGACCATTATAAAAACTGAACTGGAGGAGTCTGCTCAGTGGGGAAGCAGCTCTACGTGTCTCCTCATTAGGTAGTTTTCCAAGGTCCCCAGCAAAAGTTTTCTATTGAATATTTAGAAAATATGAAGTCAATAAACTTTCACTAAAGCATTTAATTGTTTGAGAAACAAGCCTTAAGTTTTGTGCGTTGCATATGTTGAACGTATATAACTGTTTTAAGTATAATCTTATATGTTCACTCTTCTCTAAATTTACCTCTAGGTTCTGTGGCTATAACAAGTCCAAACATGGTGCCGATGAAAAAAGACTTCACTTTGGGAATGGACATTGTAAGTTTTTAAACTTTGTTTTGTTTCAACATTTTACTTTTAGCCCTTCTTGATTTATAGTTGGCTAACTTCCCTTTGATAAAGAGAATTCAAAAGAAGTTTTATGGAAAAATTGGGTAAATTAAATTTATTTTAAAAGGAGAAGGAAATGCATGGCTCTGCATTAAGTAATTTTTACATGGCTACATTTCAGCATACTTACAGGGAAGGGTGAGCTGTGGTTTAAATTCAAATAATGCACATGATGAGTAGTATGAACTGTAGTCAGCTCTGCATGGCTGAAATGCAAAGCGTGTCTTCAATTTCCTATTCCCAGTCCTTTGCTAAAATCTAAATAGGAGACTTTTCTCTTTCATAACTGCCAAGTAAATATAAACAATCTCTGTTTATGTGAAATGCCTTCTCCATTTTGTCAACCAACCAGGAAAGAGTCTTTAGAATAAACTGTTTGTTTTGGAGTTACATGATATCCAGCTGGTAGGAAAGCCAGCACTTTTTCCTCCCCATTTTATTACCAACCAATTTACTCTCTTTTAATATTTTCTAAAAGACATACTCTTTCAGAAAACAACATGTTTACATCTAGTAAAAAGACTCACTTTTTTCTACTGGTGAGACAAATCATTCCAGGTGTTTTATTTTTCCATACTACAGCTAGCTCAGTGTGGCAATTATGAATCAGTGGCCTTAAAAAGAATAGCATGTTCTCCTGCAGATTAGCACAGACTAAACTCAAGCTCATGTGCTCCAAAATATCTCAAAACAATTAATGCGGTCTTGTAATCATTACTTTTTGGCATTCACTATTGCCATCAAAAATTGTTTTCAAATCAACATTAAACTTCCTTGCAGCCATTGGATATGCATCTACAGATAATAACTTTGGTTATAATTCAAGTAAAAATTCTTACTTACTTTTTTTAAACATGCAGGAAGCATATAGTATCTAAAAAAGAGGAAAGCAACAGAGAGAGAGACAGAGAGACAGAGAAAGACAGAGAGACACAGAGTAAGAAAGGAAGAGAAACATTTTTCAGAACGTGAGTTGGTGTGAGATGGAGCCAGTGCAACAGTTTGCATAGTATTGTGGGTTTATCCATCTAATTGCAGAGTCATTATGGAAAATGTCACAAAACAAGTCAAGGTACTATCTTCCAAATATCAGTAACATTGCTCCAGGTTAGTTTGGCTACCAACTCAAAGGCTTAAAGAAATGAATGAACAAATTACAAGACAGTGGTTTTCTTTATTTTCCTGGGCTTAGGCACACAAAAATGTGTCACAATATCCATGCATAAATGAAAGCCATTACATTCTTGTGGATTAAATCTCTTCAGCACTAGGTGGACACAGAGCAAAACCATGATGGTGCAGTTATTTTTATGGAAATTATAATCTTATGAATATGGATCATGTGGCAATTTTAAGTAAGCTTTTGTTGCCAGTCGATTTTCCTGCTGGCTTATATGGTGGAGTTTGTTGAAATACAATTTTTTTAAGTGCACGATATCTTTATGAAACAAAAATATATATTTATTTAGCTTTAAGAACATAAAGTAACATATATGCATGTTATTAACTTTCTGCTTTTCCCTACAACAGCTGGTTTATTTCAGACTATTTATTTGGAATTATTTTAAAAAGCTGTAGCTATGAACTATTCCCTTCAGCCTTGTTACAGATCCTGTAACATTGCTTCAAAAGGAAAGAAATGTGTTTCACCTCCTAAGACTGTGTCCCCTTGCCCTCTCTGCCTGGAACTTTTTACATTTTTGCTCTCCTTAGGGCAACTCATGCTGGTAAAATGGAAATGTAAATTATTGTGTTTGCACAGAATGAGCTGTAAAGTAGCACAGCTTAACACATGTGCATGTGTTTATTATCTGGTTTTCATGACAGAGCCCAGTGACTCTGTGTGTTGCCCTTAATTATTGGTGTGAAGGGATTATGTGCCTTGTAGCCTGGATCTCCTGATTCTTGGAACCTCTGGGGTGAGCAGTTAAAACTCAGCAGCCAAAACTCCTACAGTGAGCAAACCATTATTTACCTGGGGGGAGGGAGAAGTATTTATGTTTGTATTTTTTTCTTTAAATGTTATGTGGGTGGAAAAATAATTCATCTTATTATACTTAATAAAAGATAATATGATTGATTTTTGAGAGAATGATTATATAATTTTCAGATTATTTAATAATACATGTAATCTCTAGTGTTGAGTGTTAATGCTGAAGTACATTTGAAACCTTTTTAAAACCTAGTACTCATTTAAAATATTTAAAATATTGTTTATATTTATAACAATTCTTTTCATACTCTGTAAATTTTGATTTTACCAGTCTTCCTCTAATTGGTTTTCTTACACTCATCAAGGTAAACATTTGTAATTATTTATCAAATTTTTCAATTCACTTTATGTTTAACATTTTATTTTTTAAACTTTGGAACTAACAAATACTAGATTTCTATTTCTCACCATAATATACAGGAAAATAAAAATATGACATACTTTCATTAGTGTGAAATTAGTTTTCAAAAATACAATAAAATTGATTCAACAAGAAAACTAACAAGATATTACTATGTACCATATATTAGTAATGCTGGTTACTTTTAGTTTTTCTTTCTCTAAATCAAGAAACATATGACAGCTTTCTTTAATCTGTTTCTTGTCTTAAGGGTAAACATTTTAGTACTGATAGAAATCATTTTGGTAGTAATACAGTATAGTAAACCTGTACATTAAAGAATGACTTTGCCATCTCTTTTTATAAAAAGGGTTAGTGTTTACATGAAAGAAGTATGCAAATATATACATTAGGTCACAGGAAATGGCATTTATGGGCCAAAATACTCAGGCCAGGAATCCTTAATGACGTTAACAATTGTAAATAAACGTTCTTAACAGTGAAAATACTAATTAGGGCAATAATCCTGTCATTAATCAAGCACTGATTACATAACAGCCACTTGAACTGTACCTTTTCACGAGCTGTCTCCAAGGCCTGGCTTGCCCTTTCACTGAACTATCCAACAGAGAAAAACTCCAAAAGAGGAGTTCTCACTTCACAATTTCCTCTGCCCTGTTTGTCTAAAGCAATTGAAATTCACAAATTAACTTTTCCCATCTTGTGGATGCTGTCTTACTAAATGGTGGTGTCTTTTTAAATTATCCACACTGGCTGAAGTGCGGCTGTCCCTTTAGTAGCAGCATGTGCTGAAATTTGGGTGGTGTCAGCCTCTCTTCTTGTACCCCACTTGATCTCTCACCTCGCCTTTCTATTATGCTGTGTTAAACTCATCTGCAGAAGGAGCTGAGAAAAAATAAGAGTTTTTACCTCCATCTCTCCCACCCACCATGTCTTTTGCAATCCCTTTGTTCTTATTCCTATGTTTCTTTATTCATAACTTCTGTGAATTTTTCATGGGAACATATAATTCAGTATAACAATGATATTCATGAACTTGTCTTATAATTAAATGAACTAATCATGTGTTAAAACAAACTTTGAAATCCTGGATCATTGACCTAATATAGTGTTTATTGTTGTGAGTGCTGGTCACACAACTATTTAATACAAGCTTTCACAACTATCTCAAAGAAATCTTTGGTCAATATAAAATTTAATTGTTCTTCTTCCAAGGAGTCCCTTCCATTATGAAATAGCCTATGAACTATAACGGCTGACTTTATTTATTAAACCAAAAGAAAATTATCCTTCACTATTTTAGTGAAAAATAAGTAACTATTAAATTATTCATGGCCCATTCTACTATAGTGTTATCAATGTTAGCAAGATTAAGGCATATCTAATATTAGTGAATAAACTATAAGGTTAAAATTGCAATAGTTTTAATGTTAGATAATGTTCATTAAATGTAATTGATCCTAGGATACTTTTTAAATATTTAGGGTTTGTTTATAGAGAGTTTATTACAATTTACAAATTGTCTTTAATGGGAGTTGTTTACCCAAATGATAGGGATGTTGTTAACATTGAATCAAATTCAAAATGACTCCTCTGTGCTACTTTTCTGGGACATTTTAATTATAGAACATTATAGAAAATTTCCACCTTCAGAATAATTGAACCAACAAGTATAAAAAAATTTACATGTACAATTTTATATGATTTATGTTTAGAACTTAGGTTCTTAGTATCATAATTAAGCTTGTTAATTGCATCGGTCAGCCTTCTGATTACTGGCACACAATTCCTGAATACACATTTTAAAGAAGGAAAGGGCCTTTTTGTTTTATAGTTTCAATTTGTGGACAGCTGGTTCCAAGGCAAAACTGTCATTGAATGGCAGTAGAATACTGTTCAATTCATGATATCCAGGAAGCAAAAAATAGGAGAAGTCAGAAAGAAAGGGACCAGAGACCATAAATAGTCCCAGGATCATTTCCCCATGACTTTCTTTCTTCTACTTAGTTTTAGCCCATTGAGCTTTAAACTCATCAGAGAGTTGGTGTCCTCATACCCTCTCCAGGAGTCTCTTAATCCAATCAGGCTGACAATCCAGATTACCTGGCACATAAACAGTAGTTATATTGTCTTAAAGTATATTGAACTGCCTCATCAGAAGATTCCATTTAGAGACACTGAATTGGGGTGTGTCTATAGTACATACCTCCATATATACGTGCTCACAGCTTTAGCTAGATCTGTAATTTCATTGGAGGCTTTTGATTGTGAATGGAAATAAACAATATAGTGTCAGAAGACATGCTACTTTATATCCTTTAATTAATTTACCTAATTTACATCTCCCTTTCTGTGATACCATGGAGTAAACTAAACTTAAGTTTAAAAATCAGCATACATTATTGTGATGAAGACTTCCTTTAGCTCATAAAGTCGTAATAACAATTGCTCAGTAAAAGTTTAATACACCTCACTGCAATAATGTCTTTGTTCCTTTTTTTTAAACAGTGAAACTTCCAGGTCTCAGGACTTATGTTGACCCACATACATATGAAGACCCAACGCAAGCTGTTCATGAGTTTGCTAAAGAATTGGATGCCACTAACATATCCATTGACAAAGTAGTTGGAGCAGGTATGTAGCCAATCTAGTGTGGGAGATTTTATGATCAAAGGCAGGCAATAAATAAAGGGAGTGTCTAATGGAATGCAATGATTTCAAAGGTACCAGACATAGGCTCTCAAACTAAAACTATCTGCTATTTTATTTATTGAAGTTCAGAACTGGCAGTATTAATGTCTCAATCTTCCCAGTGCTATGCAGATCATGCATCACAAAGCTATTAGCTAAATAGAGGTAACAGGATAAAACTGTGTCTCACTGTAACCAAGCCAACTAATTGAAAACTTTGATTTTCAATTTTAAAATCCTCTTTGGAACAACAAAACAACAAGCAAAAAAATAAATAAAATCTTGGTTAGCTTGCATAAATCCCCTGACAACAATGTTGTATAAATATTTTAAATAACACGATGTACTTCTTTTTAAAATACTTGCTTTACTTGATATATCTACTTATTTTTTCTTTGATATTTCTTTTGTTTTTTTTGCATTTATGATCTACTTATATTATTTTACATGATTTTTTGTGTGCTATTCGTTATTTAATTGTAGATTTATTAACAAAACTCTTTAAGCAAATTTTAATGAAGTGTTTTCTCAACCAAAATTTTAGATATGAGTTATATAACAATATTTAATACTTACATATAAAACACATGAACCCCCTTAATGAATGGCAGTACATATAACAATAAAATTACTATTCAAAAGTAAAAATAAACCATGCTCAACAATAGAGTTTTTCACAGTTATTATACCCTTTAATGTTGCTCTCAAAAACAACCAAACTAGTTGGTGCTGGAATTAGAATGAAAGATTGAGAAATTAACTCATTGAATTATGCATAACCTATCAGATCACTTTTTATGCAAGTGCTATATTTATATATTTATAACTGATCCTTCTTTATACAAATATGCATGTAATTGCCTCTATTTTTCTATATACCAAAGCAGTATTTAAAATTCAATCAGTAGTTAGTATGCAAACAGGACAATCTTGAGTAATTCATTTTATCCAAATAAAATGATAGTTTTCTAAAGCTTCGTTTCTAATTTTCTTAATGTCTTATCCTCCTAGCTGTTCACACATGCAGGTAATATTATAATGTAAAACTTGTGTTCATAAAAAGAAACATTTACATATTCATTTTTCACAAAGATTTGAAAGTATACACATTAACTGTACGCCTATATGCATTCAGTGCCAAACACGTACACATAGATTCCTGTTGCATTGGTGTGCTAGCTTTGGGAGCAGTTCCCTAATGTCACCCCACAAGAATGCATTGTTTTCTAACATGGAATCTGCAACAGGACAAGCAGCACAAAGACTTTACACACTTATCTGGAGTTTGAAGAGAATAGAAAGTCACTGATGTTGAGCCAAAGCCCAGAAGCCCTGATAGATATCAGGATCAGCTTGAAAGCTCGTCTATCATTATTTAAGGAATGGAACCCCAAAATATCTATATAAAAACAGCTTAAAATAAGTACTATAAATGCAAAAAAGTAAGAAAAATAAGTAGATGTATCAACTTAAGTAGTATTTTACAATGCATTACTTCATGTTATCTCAAATATTTATACAAAATTGTCATTATGGGATTTATATAGTTTATCAAGATTTTATTTTATTTTTATTGCTTGTTATTTCATTGTTCCAAAGAGGATTTTAAAGTTGGTAAGGGATTTAATAAAAAGATGTTAGTGACAGAGGCAGATATCCAAATGCAAAGTTATGAAACAAAGCTCACACATTTAAAATGGTATAAATGAGCTAAAAGGAAATCTTTTATTTATAGGAATCATTTGATAATTCCTTATGCCTATTAAGGATTAGAATACATTGGCGTTGTCTTTCCTCAAGTATGTTTGTCAAGAATTATACAAATAGCCAATATGTGAAGATTTGCAGCCAATATTCTTATTTTTCATATTAAAAGAAGTAAATTGTACTTATTTTATTGGCAAGTAGATATTTCTCCAAGTTATACCTCTGCTGGATGTATTCAACCTAGCAGACACACCAAATTCTAGACTGCCTTGCTTACATGTTAGAGGTCTGATGCTTCCAGAATAGAATATGGAATCAAAATTGTTAAACTTTTAAAATATTTTCTTTCATAACTTTAAAATATGCATGTTAAAATAATTAATGTGTATTGTACATATTTTTGCAGTAGGTCCAATAACAATTGAGTCATCCTAGCTTCAAAGTACTGTTTTGTGGTGCTGAGGATTGAAGCCAGGACCTCCCACATGTTGGACTATAGTTTCCCACTGAACTGCACCCCAGCCCTCATGCCACACCTGTACTCTCAGTGTAGTTACCTACCATACACAAACTATTTAGTTTAAAAATAATTTAATGTCTTCAATGACTGAGTTTTATGACATGAATTATATTTAAAAATTGTTTAAAATAAAAAATAAAATTTATTCAATGTTACTCATAAAAGTTCAATGATTATGCTCCTGGGTGTGGTGCTGCATTCCTGTAATCTCAGGACTTATGACACTGATACAGGAGGATCATCATGAGTTTGAGGCCGGTCTGTGTTATATAGGCCAGTCTGAACTGCATAGCAACAGACTGTCTCAAAAGAAAAAAAAAAGTACTACATTGATTAATAACTATTTTCCACACCTGTCATTGTTAGGCTAGTCCTTTCACCTGATGATTGTTAATGTAATTTCTCTCTCTCTCTCTCTCTCTCTCTCTCTCTCTCTCTCTCTCTCTCTCTATCTCTCTATCTCTCTCTGTCTCCCCCTGGCTAACTCTCTAATTTTTCTTTCAGAGTTTTTATTTAGATATGTGTTATATAAACGCTCACACATTTTATCTCCAGAAGCATTGTATTTATAATGCAAATGGAAAATTAAAATTAAGCCATGAACTAAATTAAATTTCTTTTAGTGACAAATTCATAATGACCAAAATTCTTACTTTTACTCTTCCATCTAACCAGTTTTCTAATCACATGGTATTTAACTTGGTCAATAAATTTAAGTAAGTTTTACTATACCATTCCACAGAAATAACTGACAATTTGAAGGACTGTAGCTGCTGTATTAAGAAACTAGAAATTCTTGAGTCTTTTGTTTTCTAAATTCAAAGCCCATTCTAGACACTACCAACCTCAGTAGCACCTTTTTTGCATAGAATTTTGTTAGGACTGAGAGACACAATTTGTTTAGATTACTTAGCTGACTTGCAGCATTATTCAATATGGATTTTGTTATGTTTTTCTTATAAAAGTAGCAGGAAATAGGCTTTGAGGCTAATGTGGGAAGGTGGTTAATCTGTTTGAACACACGTGAACATTATTCTGTTTTAAAAGAATTAAGTGAAGGTATTTATTTACTTATTAATTCTGTATTATGCACGTATTTATTGTGGCACTAAGGATCAAACCTGGGCCTCACACTTGGTGGAAAAGCATTATGTCACTGAACTACATTCCCTGTATAAGAAATCTATAATTTTCACATTGCATATCTTAAAATATAGTATTTTTCACATAAAACATATATTTAAAAGAGAAAATTAAAATAACACACTTATTACAGTTTAAGTGTCAGTATGTGGTAGCTGTGATTTTTTGTTAGAAATGATAAAATAAACATTTTCTTTCCTATAGGTGCAAAATTAAGTGCAAACAATAGAAAATATGGGCAATTGGGAATTATATTTTCCCAGTCCTTGTAAACTTTCTTAACATTGTCCTCTCACATTGTTAAAAAGAGAACAGAATTACTAATAAGCAGTTATGTTTTCTATAATGTATTGATGACCATTTCCAGTATCTATCTGATGAAATGCTCACATGAAAATACTCAAAAGTTAGCCCTACTGAAATTTTGAAGACAGTTATACATATACATGTGTCGTGGATCCCTCTCAAGACAAAGAGCCTCTAATTGGCTCACCCAAAGTGTGAAATCTTATGCTTAATCTCCCCTGTGGGGAACTCTTAGAAATGTTCTCCTTTACAAATACTTGTCCAGGGTGACAAGAAAGGTGTTACTACCTCTTAGTAGCACTTTTAAAGAACACTTTTTTAGAAACACTTTTAAATTCATTTGTCAATTTTATAGTAAAAGAAATTGAGAGGTAGATGGTTTAAGCCTTAGGTAAATCTGAATACAAAGAATAGTAAGTAAATTTAGATGTCCCTATGTGTTTGGCACATTCAAAGTTCATATATATTTATGTTTATATATATTATTTACATATTTATGTCATGTATATGATTATATATTAATTATATTAATTCCCTTGTGTAACAGCTTTAGGAGATAGAAACAAATGGTGTGTCTAGTTTAGACAAAAGGAGGTACAGAGAGATTATGACACTTATTTGAAATCACAGAGCTAACAAACAACAGCAAGGGTTAGACTCTGAGCATTTGGCTCCAGGATTCATTCTCTTAGTCACAACTCTGTATTCTCTCTCCTGAAAACTGACGTGTTATAGTTTACTAGGTGTTGGCGACATTTGAATGTAAAACAGTCCTTGATACTATGTTGGCTCATGATAAGGGTAGAACTTTCAGAAAAGTAGTGAGTTCTTAATGGAAACTTTTTGATGTATGGTTTACTCAAATTTAATATTTATAGAAAAGGAGCTAGAGTTCTCTGACAGTGTTCAGAAAATACTGGGAGAGAAACTCAGATTCTTGCTTATAAATTCTAAATTTGTCTCACACTTCTAATATTTCCACAATACAAGGACATGTTATCAACTTCTACTCCCCTGTTTTAATAATCCTGAAGAACAGGGTAGCTTCAGTCATCATTATTTTTATTTTTGATATTTGCTCAAAAGGAAGAAACTCATTCTTCCTTGCTTAAGATTATGTTTCAGAGTGTCTTTTGTACTGTTGACAGTTGATGAATAAATATTGTTAAATGCCCAAGTATCTGCTTTTGGACTTTCAGTGACTTTGAGAATTTCCTATGCCATATGTGTCACTGCTTAGCTAACAGCAGTAAGATTGGGTCATAAGGAGAGGGACTCTAGCTTCCTAAGTAAGGGCAAGTTCATTTGTGATTATAAAGTTGGCAAGTTGATAGAACATCCTGATGCTTTTATCAATCAAACCATTTAATAGGATAAATACATAAATAAAATATAGAATCACCCACTTGTTTCCTTCAGACACATAGAATATGAGAATCACAGATAACTCACAGTGAGATGAGAGCAATTTTTGGTTCATAGGGAACCAAAAATTAGTCATGTAATTATTTGTAGAATATATCAGAAAAAAACTGTTCTCTGAAATTAAGCCTGTTGTTTGCATGAGGCCCAAACAAATTTAATAATCCACACAATATTTGTAGTTCTTCTATGAACAAGGAATAGTCACTACTTTGAGGCAATAAATATGACCTACAAAGAGAAAAAGAATGAATGAAAGCTTGAATTCTGACCAAAGAATGATGGGTAACTAACTCTTCTCAGCAACAATGCATGAGATGGGCGCTTCCATCTAGCTCTAGGCAGTTTTATTTATCAGCCAGGTTAGAGTATTTGAGAGCCTGAAACTCTCTAGTTTCAATTAATTCTGCAAAAATTCACATTTACAACATCTTAGTGAATCAGATAGCTCCGCAGTGATTCTTTAGATAAGACAAATTGCTTTACTTGATGTTGTTATATTATCATTCTTGCTCTAGAAGCTTAGAGACCATTATATTGTGTCAATGCAACATACCAAACCTCCAATAAAATGAATTAGTAGCAGATGCTGTCATTCTCGTTTTTATACAATCAAAATATAAAGCCAATTTGTCCGTCAGCAAAAGAGAATAGTTACAAACATTTTAAACTTAATCCAAAGTTCAATTTGTAATATCTGTGCTATCCTGTTGATTAACCTGATATAATGGTAGCTATAAGAACAAGGGATAAAATACCTGATAAATGAAAATTTCCATTTTCTTTCTTTCTCTCTCTCTCTCTCTCTCTCTCTCTCTCTCTTTCTCTCTCTCTCCTCTCTCACATTTTTCATAGTATTGCACTTTAAAATATAAGAAATTCTCACAAGATTCATTCTCCATCAAGATGTGAATATCCTGCAGTTGCCTATGTAATTTTAAACTGCCATCTTCCAAAATCATTTGGAGGCCTACAGTGTGTATCTTCTAGGTCAAGGACACAACTATTTGAAATGCAAATACTAAAAAGAAATAGTAACTCTTCACTGATGATTTTTTTATTATATAATTCCTTACATTTTGTTGTTCTGCATTCTGGCAGGTGAGTTCGGAGAGGTATGCAGTGGACGTTTAAAGCTGCCTTCGAAAAAAGAGATTTCAGTGGCCATCAAGACCCTGAAAGTGGGCTATACAGAAAAGCAAAGGAGAGACTTTCTGGGAGAAGCCAGCATTATGGGACAGTTTGACCATCCTAATATCATTCGACTAGAAGGAGTTGTTACTAAAAGTAAGTAAAGCCTTAAGATCTGCTTCTCATGTGTTGTATACATGTTGTTTAAACTCAAACCCAATCACCAGAATTTTGAGCTGAGTATGATGGCTTTTGTCTGTAATGCCCACACTATGAGAATTAAAGCCAAGAAGACTACAAGTTCAAATCTAGTTGAGGCAATTTAGCTACTTAGCAAGACTCTATTTCAAAATAATCTCTTAAAGAGCTTGGAATGTAGCTAAATGTGAAGGCCATAGGTGCGATCCCAAGTACTACCATTAAAATTAAGTTTTTCAGATGTATATCCATTTCTAACAAAAATAAAAGTTTAGGATTAATGCATTGTGCTTTGACATGCTATATATGTTAGATGTTGGGATTTTTAAAGATACGCGAATAAAAGATAGTCAAAAAGAGAATTTCTGGTATGCTGACAGCAAGGAAAACAGTGACTCAATTTTAACAAGAACTCCCAGCTAGCTATCTGCCTTTTCTTTATTGTTCACCAGCTCCATTTAAACTCTCAGATCTTTACCCTTTCTGCCCTCCTGTCTTTAGGAAAATTATAGGAGTCTTGGGAATGCTTCTGAGCTGTAAAGATTGGGATCACAGTAAAACCAGGGCCTTTTCTTGGTTCTCTGTCGATTTAAAATAGTTCTGATCTAGTTTCCCAGGTGGATTCGTGACTCCTCCGGGGGAACTGGCTTACCGCCCATGATAGAGATCTGAATTTATTTCCATGATGGTTTCTCCAGCCAGGCTCAAAAGGGATCCTGAGAGGCTGATCTGTGATTCTTGGCTCCAATCCCAATGGAAACCTCTTGGGAATGTTTCGAGACTATTTTTTCTCAAGATTTTGGAGCACAGGATGAAGAATAAGTGAAATTGGCAGCACATTCCATACAGTGAAAGACAACATATGGCAGGGAATTTGGCATCCTTTAGGGGATAATTCACTGGCACCACATTTACATATTCTATGGTTAGCAACAGACATTATTCATTATATTTCTCACAATATTAGTTTTCTTTAGCATTACATAGAGTACTTTCCAAATGGCACTGATGCCTATTCTCACTTAAGTGTGACTAAAAAGGCATTTCCTTCTTCATAAGAACAGTATAACTGAAATAGATTTTTATTTCTTTTTGAATTTCATATAAAATAAAAAGAATGGATTACTTGATAATGTTGAATGATCTAGCCATACACTGCATGTCCATTGTCTTTATGTTTGTCTTTATTAGTGCGTGTTGTAGTGCATAATGTTTACATTCCTCATGTGGAGTTGATACATGGACATAGTACAGCTGAATTCCTTTTTTCATCCCCTTTCCCTCTCTCCATCCCCTCTTCTCCATCTCTTGACCCCTTTCCCATTTGAGAAACATCTGTGTTCTACTTCTTATTGCCAGTATTTTATTTTTCTTTCTTTACGGTTTTGGTTTCACATATAAGAGAAAACATCTATATCTATGCTTACGTGTCTGATTTACTTCACTTAACAATTATGGTCTAAAGGTGCATTCATCTTCCTACTGTTAAGTCATATAAAAAGAACTTGTTTCTTGCCTCTGTATACCTAATACTCAGTCCATACGAGTAGTAATAGCAGAGTACTTTTTGACCATCCCAATATCATTAAGAAAAAAAATCTGCCTTAATTCTGTTTCTAAAACATTATAATATGGATTTGTTCTAACTTACATTTAGAGTAAGATTTAAATTTGATATATCTCTCTGGTCAAGTAAGTATGTAAGAAGCTGTCACATCTAAGTTTAACTCATCTCATATGTTATAAACATTATAGAATATTAGACTTTGAATTAGCTTTTAAAACTCTAAGAGCATAATTGCATGCTCTAATTCTGTCACCTTATAATAACATAAGGAAGTACAACATTCTCACAATAAAGCTCATATGTTGCTTTTAAAATAAGTACAACAAATTTTGTCTCCAAAACAAGATATTAATAATATTATTCTTATTTTGTTATCTCTATGATTGTGAAAGATCCATACATAACCAGAGTGATAGACAGCTTCAAATTTAATAAAAAATCTGCATTTAAAAATAAGCATTTACGTTCAATCCCCAATACCAGAGAAAGTAAAAACAAGCATTTATGTATTTAGATTAATATTTAGTGGGTCAGACCTAGGATGTGGATCAGTGGCCCAGCACCTGCCTGGCAAGCAGGAGGTCTTCAGTTCGACACCCAACACCGCAGAGAGAGAGAGAGAGAGAGAGAGAGAGAGAGAGAGAGAGAGAGAGAGAGAGAGAGAGAGAGAGAGAGAGAGAGAGAGAGAAGAGAGAGACAGAGAAAGAGAGAGAGAGAGAGAGAGAGAGAGAGAGAGAGAGAGAATCACTGGTTTTAAGATCAAACTCTAACTCAACGTTACTGGTTGTAAGAAATCTTGGAAGTCCAATCATAGATACTTCTTCACATAAAACATAGAATTAACAGGACTCCTTTGCTATTTTCAGATTCATTTAAAATGAGATTATAAAATATATTAAATTGAAAAAAATCATGTAAATCTATTTCACCTGTTCTGGTTGCTTTGGAAATATTACCAGTTAAAAATCTGTGTGTGTAGAAGAAAATTTTTGAAAATAAATCCTTGTGTTTTTTTTTTCTTATTGACAATTCTTTTTATTGTTACTTACTTTGCACTGGAAATACTAGTTCTATTACATTGTTTCATTTTCAAATCCTTTAGAGAAAGCCTTTGATTGAATCATTGTTTTCACTTATCTGAACTGAACCATAAACAATTTTAATGACATGTTAAGGTGATAGAGTCTGTGATCTTCAAAGTAGCAGAAAGCTGCAGCATAGTCTGCTCAGAACTAGGTACCAACATGTGTTATCAATTTTAGTTAAACTTCAAAAGGATGGAACTTGTTTTTAGCAAATGTTTTACATTTCTGCCATCACACCATTAGTTAAATGATGTTGAGACTCCAACAATAATTTTCATTGGCAACATTTTTGCCCAGTGAAATAGAAGGAATTGTACTAGATGAGAATAGTGTACCTCCTGGAAATTAAAAATATTAGGGTGGAAGTCAACTAAAGCTTCGTATTAGAAAGGTCATACAGTAATAATTAAGAGATTTTTTCTAATTAAAACATATCTGTCTTCTTATGAGTGTTCACGTTCCACTAAAGGGTTAGACATTGTTTTGCACCTCTTTATTCCATGATCATAGAAGGAAACATGGAAATAAGATATTAGGCTTTAGATGCAATAATCCTTGTTATTTTCTATTTATGTCTCTCTAAAAGATTTCTGTACTTATCTCAATAGCATTATATTTCAAGTGACAATCTTAGTAGAAAATAGATATATAATGTTTGTTTTACTAATAATTTACAGAAATATTTTGCTAGAATAAGAAAGTTCAAAAATTATGATAAGACAACTTGTCATATGTTATGACTGCAAAACTGAGAGCCTGAGTTAGGAAGGCAGCAAGTTCGAGTCAATCCAGGTCAACATAGCAACTTAGCAAGACCCTGTCTCAAAATAAAAAGTGCAAGTTACACTTATAAAACAGGACTATGGCAGGACAGGTCAGAGCAGAGGCCCTGGTTCCATTTTCAGTACTGCAATCACTCAATCATTTCAGTTAATTAATCAGTCAATGAGTTCTGAACATGTCTATCTACATTCTCACATCAGCTCAATTAGAAAAATCTCTACTCAAAATATTAGGGATGAAAATAAAGGAAGGAATGCTATTTTTACATATTCAAAGAGCTTTTATTTCCTTTTGAATCTCCACTATGAATCTTGGGTGAATTTGCCACATTTGAATTACAAAGTGATATGGTATGCCAGGGATTTAGCTCAGTGGCAAAAGCACCTACTTTGCAAGTGTGCAGTTGTGAGTTCGCTCCCTGGTACAAAAAAAAGAAAAAAGAAAAAAAGTGATAAGGTATATTGTGCATTTTCTTCATTTATAGTTTTTAAAAAATTTTGAAAGACTAAATTCAACTTACAAATTTTGTTAGAATTTTGTTGGATGTACTCTAAAACTGCATTTTATATACTGCTAACTTATGCATGTAGGAACTGTGCTAAAAGACTAAGACATTTAACAATACATTTGTTTAACAACTAGGCATTGCTAATCTCATACAAACTTTTACAAATACTCTTAAATCGTGATTTTTGATATCAAGTAATAAAAATAATACCATAAGTAATAGTAACCAGTTATTATAATTCATAAAAAATTGATAACGGTAATCAGAAAACTGTCTTTAGCAATGCAGACAAAGAGTACCATGATCAAACTGAATATATTCCAAGAATTCACAGTTGGTTAAATATTTTAAAATTTTCAACCTTTTACAACATTAATAGATGAAAAGAAAGCTCATCTCAATAGGAACAGAAAATAACCTTTTGAGGATTGTTTTTAATGTAACATGCACAGAAAATACATGTGCCAGATAAAAGTATGGGAATACCATCAAAAGAAGAAGAAATACACCTTAAAAACTATATTTGATCGTAAAATACTACAGCATTTCTTTTAAAATTGGAACTAGAATCCTGCTATCGTCACTTCCTTTCAGAACTGTACTAAAGATCTTATACTTTACAATTAGACATGGATAAAAGCCTAGAAAGCTTGAAAATATAAACACAAAACTATCCTTGTAAAATTGAGCAGTAAGTTCATATTGCTATGAACTGGTGTGTTTTGTTTCATTTTGTTAAGTTTTTGGTACCTAGAATCAAACTCAACACCTCATACTTTCTAGGCAGTTGTTCAGGCCACTGAGTTATATCTCCAGCCCAATATTACTATAAGCATTAATGGCACCAGTATTGATTCAGTTTGGACTGGAATAAGGGAAAGTAACATTCAGTTTATTGTGATGTTAACTCATTTCAATTTTAGCATAAATAAATGGAAGTATCTTAAAATAAGCTGAATATTAAGCATTCTGTGTGTTAAGACTGAGAGTATAGTTGGAGAAGAAAGACTTGAAGGTAGTGTTTCCAAGTCTGATTTTGAAGAGAAAATTTTTTTTGAGTCTGACACAAGAGGCATAATCTAAGCTCTCGAAACTGGCTCACTGGTAAGTAGTGGGCTTAGAACTACAAGCACATGGAGTTGACTACTCTCAGTGCTCATAGAACAGCAGATTTAACATTGTTCATTACAACAGAATAATTAAAATGATTAAAATGGAGTTTGGAACATATACCCCTGTATTTTTGTGTTGATTTAATGAGAAAATCACAGAAAAATTCTGTAATTCCATGTATTACAATATTTTAATCTTTAGGTTTTCGATCTTTTACTTAGGAATACAATTCTTAGACATTTTGAATCACCTTTCTTTCTTCAAGCAGTAATTCAATGATTATAAGTGTCTCTCAACTGCTGGGGATATTGCATGACAATGAACTGATTTTAAGAAACTAATTTGGTTCTTCTTATTATGTGAAACTTCATCATGTCTTTACTCAGAAATCAATTTAAGAATAAAAGTACAACTCCTCCATTGAAGACTCTGTTTTATTTATTTTTGGTGGAGTTTTGTTCCAGCCAGTCCTACAACAGTAGCTCCATTGAGTTTAGCCTGTATACCCAAATGCATTTTGTGGTTGGTCTCTGAAGGCAGTGAATAAAAAACAGGCTGTCTTGAAGAAGTCCATCTACACGAAGTCTATATATAATTTGTAAATCAAAATGCATATGAAATATTATGCATATTAGACTACCAATGCATTGTATAATCGATACCAAGTGAATTGGTATCGTATAAAAAATTTTTCTCTGCATTTAATGCACGTTAGAGCTAGCTCTTCACCACTATTCCAGAAACTCTTTTTATGCCCGTATTTATCTAAATTAAGATCATAATGGAGACTCTAAAACAGAATGTTGCTCTCCAATGTAAATTACTTGTGATTCTGTTTACTCTTTGTATATTTGGTTTGTAGAATCTTTGAACTTAATGTGAAGCATATTTTCAGACTTGCCCACCTTAACTGATCTGTTTACAAATATATAAATTGTAGAGTCAAATGCAGCCTGATCTGGTTTCTGAATGGTCATGAGGCTTTGCCTTAATTGACTGGTTTGATATTTTACCTACTTTTATTTTCTTCGCCAAACATTCCACTAGACATGCTAATGAGAAATGAATTGGTCATGTGGCTGAGAGCCAGAGGATATAGGGATAAGCAAATGCCTGAGTAGTACACAACGCAGTAACTTGTAGAATGAGGTGAACAATCTCTGACTCCATTTGATGTATATATTAAATTTTGGCAGCATATTATTCTCTCAAGAATTTGATTAATGAAGGAAATAGAAACTGATGGTCTACAGAGAATATGCACATACAGGATTTCACTCATTGATTCCAGGCAATTTTACTCCAGGAAAGGTCTTTGGGAACAATAGTTCAGGAAGTATTAGAGGTGCTAAGGCAAGGGTCAGTCTTCTGTTTCTTTGAGAATATTGCCCAAATTGCATTTAGTTAGAATTTGAAAAAAAACAAGCTTTAAGACACAAATGCTTTGACTAAGTTGACGTTTCAAGTATTATATCAATTAATTGTATGTGAGGTGGTACCTAGAAAATATAAATAAAACAATGTCTTATCTTAATGGAAATAGATCAGTATATCTGTTAATATTACATTTGAAAATTACCAGGGAAATTTTACAGAATTTAATAGTTTCTTTGCTCACCTGAATAAAAAAGACATACATTCTATGTTGTATTCAGGTTACTTAATTGGTTAAATGTAACCTACATGGTACTCATCAACGATTTGCAAGCGGTATAAATTGGAATTTTCACACTTAAAAGGGAAGTAATTTATTTCCTAGTATCAGAATGGCAAACTAACCCTTATAATGTAGAAGGTACATAAGAAGAAAGTTTATGTCTGTTATACAGTTAGACATATATGACTGTTTTTTTTAAAAATCTATTATTTAAGAACCTTCAGTAATTCTCCACTGTAATTTAACTCAGTCTTATGAACTTTGAAAAATAAAATTTTCTCTTAATTGGAAAGATCTGCAAATAAACAACATAGTAATAATCCAGTAAGTCTCTGTAATGTAGTAATATATCTGATATGTAAAATAGGAGACAGTCATATCTGGGATCTGCTCAATCATTATCTAACCTTATGATCCAACAAGTTTCACAAATTTACAATGTTTTCAAGTGAAAACCAGCAAAGTAGGAATAATGAATATTACTAAGGTGTAAAGATGAGGTGAGAATGAAGTGATATAACACTTGTCAAGTACCTAATCCAATGTCACAAATTTTTAATTACGGGAACATTTTTCTGGCATTTCTTATACATCACCAATATTCTGTATGTTTTTCAAACTGTTTTTCATTACACAGCCCTTAGTTATTATAATGTGAATACAGTGAGGGTTCAGCTTTGTTCACATAACATTACACCGTAAAAGTTGGGTAAAGTGCTACAGTTTTCAGTGTCATTTTAATTCACAGTAGACTATAAACCTGACGTGAAACAACTACTTTTCATGATTAGACATGATTATTTTTAGCTAAATATATATAGTATGCTTAGCATTCTTTGTCTGATGACTTTTCATATTTTAAAAGTTCCCCTCAGTGACAGCATAGTGTAGGTAGGTTGAAACTTTTAGCTTAATAATTTTTCTATTGTATGGCTTTGTTAAACTGTCCAAATGATGTGTTATTTACTGCATTTCTAGGTAAGCCAGTTATGATTGTCACAGAATACATGGAGAATGGTTCCTTGGACAGCTTCTTACGTGTAAGTGAAATGCATATGCGTATGCATGCATATTTATGAATGAGTTGCTGAAAACATGAGGGAAATCTTCCAACATGCCAAGCAATTAGGTCATCTAAATTTCAAGTGTGACCGAAATTTTCTGGGACTAAATAGGAAAACCTGTTAACTTGCATTTTTATTTTGCAGGATCTCAATATTAATTGTTTAATTTTATATTTAGCAAATTTCAGCCCTTTCTAGTGCTCTAGTTAAAATAAAACTAACCATAAAAACCTCTAAAACAAATAGGCATAAATAGTTTAAGAAATATTCCATTCTCTTTCCTAAAGTAACCTCAATCTGTGATTAGGTGAATTATCTGTGTCTCACATAGTACTGTCTATTAAGAAACTACATGTTTTGTGTTATATACTATAAACTACTACATATATTTTTTTCTTAATTGAGGAATAAAATCTGGTGACATATTTTAAAATTTTTAAATTTGGAATAGTTACACTGTTGTATTTAATAGATCGTTTAAAATTTCAACAAATGCTACATTCAAAGGAAGTAAAAGTTTATGATCTCTAAGGTACTACAAATCACGAGTCACTGCAAAGAATAAGAAAAGCCATCTCAGGAAGCTGAGGCAGGAGGATCATTATAAGTTTGAGACCAACGTGGCCTACAAAGTGAGCCCAAGGCCAGCTTGAACTGAATAGTGAGCCTCTGTTTCAAAAAGACAAAAAAAAAAAAAAAAAAAAAAAAAAAAAAAAAAAAAAAACACATGCATCCTGTACTCAAGGCATCCTGTACTCAAGGTGTTTTTATTGCAGTGGACAATGATTATATTCTTAATGAAGAGTCATGACATGTATGTAACACATCTTAACAATTTTTTATCTATTTTCCTTTCTTTACCTTTCTGCCTCCCTTTATCTTTTGATCCACTTTGGAAAAGATCTATCTCATTTCCTATCATCTTTCCTTTATTTTGCTATTTATTTACATTTTATATTTTTCATATAAGAGAAACCTTGTGATAATTAAGCTAATATTTAGTACTTTATAAATTGAGAAATAATTAAATAAATGTGAGATAAAACATATAGTACGATTTATAGAGGAAAATTCTAATTTTTTCTAAGAATGAAAAGTGATATACTAAAATTTTAATATTCATGAACAAAATATAATTTTTAGCAAAGAGCATTTTACAATTATTTAAAACATTTTACAATTATTTAAAAACGTTTTCCAAATCAGATGATTTTAACTATTATCAAAACTTCACTTAACACTGACATAGATATTATAGATATAAAAGTGAATATTATAGATATAGATATAGATATAGAAGTGAAATTTTATAATAGCACATTACACTTGCATTTCTGATTTAATCCAAGTGGATTGGAAATTCTAAATCTAAGACTTTGCTTCTGTCTCCTTTTCTTTTTACTTTATAAACTGCAAGTTAAGGTTGAGTAGAAACACATAAATTCAATATAAATTTTGTACTAATTATGAACTAATTATGATAATAATTGAAATTTAGTATCTACCGTATTTGAAGCAGTTTTTAAAATGTCTTAAAATTAGTAAGAAAGATATAAGTTCCATTAAGGAAATGAACCATCAAACTGAAATAGTTACTAGACACATTTCCTTTTGTGTTGTTTTGTTTTCGACATTAATGGTCCCAAGTAGAAGGTTGTATATTGCAGAAATATTAAAAGAATCTGCTTAGAACCTCCTGATGATTATGTAATACCTTATTTGCTAATACATGCACAATAAAACTTTGTTTTATTTTTGTATCCATTTAGCCATATGCTTTCAGTCTCAAATATTTTGAGCAAAATGTACATAGCCTTATTAGAAAAACCTTGTTGAGATTTAAAGGAAAAAGACATGGTCTTGGCTATTTGAAACATATCCTAATTGTACAATGGGAATGATTTGCAGAAACACGATGCTCAATTTACGGTCATCCAGCTTGTGGGGATGCTTCGAGGGATAGCCTCTGGTATGAAATATCTGTCAGATATGGGCTATGTTCACCGGGACCTTGCTGCCCGTAACATTTTGATCAACAGTAATCTGGTGTGTAAAGTTTCTGATTTTGGACTTTCACGAGTTCTAGAGGATGATCCAGAAGCCGCTTACACAACAAGAGTGAGTAACATGGATTTTCCTTTCTGTTTTAATCTTTGCAATCCATTTTATGTCATGTGAACTCTTAAGTAAGTAGGAATCATGACTGCAAGTGCTTTTCAGTTGTGCTTTCCACTGAAAGACTAAAGGAATATTCTCCTAAATTTAAAATATTATTACTCATTCTGGGGAAAATAGGCCACTGTGTAAAAGGTGTCTTAGTTGCTTCATTCAGTGCTGGGACGAAATACCTGATATCCACAATTATGAAGAAAAGTTTATTTTGGCTCACAATTTTCAGACGTTTCAGTCGGTAGGCAGCGGGCTCTATGGCAGAACTATGTGATAGAAGGACCTGGGTGGAAAAAAGCCGCTCACCTTATGGTATTCAGGAAGCAGGCAGAGGAGGGTGCAGGGAGGAAGCCAGAAAGGAAATGTACCTTGTTGTTCACACCCATGGTGTCCCCATATTCTTGGCAGACCTCGTTGTTAACAGGAAAGTAGCCTACAGAATCCCATCATGTACTACATCTCTACCTATAGTATCAGGCTCTTTGGTGACATCATGACATAAACATTAACAAAAGGAGTGTAACAATTCTAACTAGGAAACACCATACTTGGTCTACGAATCATTTACTTCAGATTTTTCTTTGTCCCTTATATATAAACATCAACAAATAATTATTAAAATAGATTATCTATAGTTTCATTTTTAACTATTTTTCATTAATATTATATCTCTTAAAGATATTTTACTGTTCAATAAGTTTTCTTTTCACTTTACAGCTTGGTATACTGTTTTTAATTTTTATCAGCTTTTAGGCAAACTCTATGAAGCAAATACTGTGTATCATATTTCATTATTTTATAGAAATGCATAAATGATATATTTTGCATTCACAAATATATAAATATAGTGATTTTCTTATGGCATATCCTTAAAAGTGCATTGTCAGTATCAAAGAGTGTGGGCTTCTTTTAACTTTAATTCATTTGATTCAAAATAGTTTAGGCTATTTCTTTGTATGTTTATAGATATATTTCTTTTAAATCTCATTTTAGAGAATTTTTATGGCAGAAAATTTAGAAAACTGCAGTAACAAAAAATAAAGATCATAGTCACTCTAATAATACTACCTAAAGAGGGCGGGTGTTAACATTTTAATGCTATCTTTTTCAGAATACTTTTCTATATAAAAATAATTCTTATACAGATAATGATTCTTATATAAGTAATTCATATATAAATAATAATTTATTTTACATATAGCTAAGTTTTCACACTGACTATGGTGCCATATAATGTGTTTCCAATTCATCAATAAATGCAATATTTTTACCCTATATAAATTCAAATTTTTAAATTTCATATTTCAAGCTTAAAAATAAAAAATACAGAAAGTTTCATATAATTAAATATTGTTTTACAACATCATTGAAAAATCTATCCTATACCTTTTTAATTCACATACTTGATTTATTTTATTTGTTTGTTTATTTATTCATTTTGTGTTTTTGAGACAGAGACTCACTGTGCAGTTCAGGCTGGCTTTAAACTTACCTTGTGGCCCAGGCTGGTCTTGAACTTGCAACAGTCTTCCTGCCTCAGCCTCCTGAGTGATGGGATTACAGCATGCACCACCATGCCCTTCTGCTTGATTTATTTTAAATACAATTGATTGGACAGAATTTCAAATCCTTGATACCAATAAAAATACTCTGATGTATATCCTGATATTTTGTTCATTTCTTTTTAAGATTACTTCTTTAGGATAAATATCTAGAATTGAAATTCCTTGAATCAAAATAATACAAATATGTGAGTGTTTGGGGATGGTAAAATTGTCTTTATCATATCAACTTGCAGTCATAGATAATGTAGTAGTTCACCCTTTTCTGCAAAGGTTAACTTCAGTGGATATAGAAACCATTGATAATTCTGAAATGAACTTCTGTACTGTTTTTTCCTGTGAAGTTGAGAATTTTCACCTTTTCATTTAAAGGAGTCATTTTATAACTTATTTTTGGCAAAACTGCATCTCAGTATTATTACACTTGTGCTTTGAGACCATTGCTAAATAAAGTAAGAGTAACCAGAACACAAGCACTATGATACTAGGACAGTTGATCTTACAACCCAGAAGACTATACAGTAATAAAGCAGAAGTAGTGCATACAGCATGGACACTGTGGACAGAGAGATACTTACCATCATTGTTTGCATAGAGCAGACGTGTATGCAATTTCATCACATTGCTGAGTGGCATGCAGTGTAAAACTTATGAATAATAATTTTGGATTTATCCATAACAATTTTATAATAATAATAATAATAAATAACTTATGGATTTTTCCATTTAGTATTTTGGAATGTGAATAACCTCAGCTATATAAAATTATAAAAGTGAAACTGTGGATAGGAGGGGATTATTGTGTATCAAAGCCTTTTTTATGCTCTCACATGCAAAGAGAGCAGACAGTTTTTAAAGGTATTTGATGAGCCTGGAGGCATTCAGCTGTAATCCAGCACTCAGAAGGTTGAGGCAGGAGGTTTACAAGTTCCAGGCCAGTCTGGGCTACAAAGGGAGTTTAAGGCCAGCCTAAAGTACATAGAGAAACCCTGTTTCAAAAAGAACTCCCCAAGCAAAAAAATCACACACACACACGTGGAGTAGATTTCTGTCATTTTCTTGGCTTATACAAAAAGTTTATTCATGCTTAAAAAAAAACCTCTCCTTTCTTGACTACTTAATTAACAATCCCCAATACTGTTACATAGCATTTATATAACACTTTTGGAATAAGTTGATTTGCCAGAATGTTTCATCTACCGGTAAAGCAGCAGTGAAAGAACCACAGAAATACAATGGCACAGTAGTTCTGGGGAGTACTAGATATATGATTTAAGAACTTTGACTCTCTTGATAACTTTATACATTATACTCCTTCCCTTTTCTCATTTTGAGTTATAATATGTATTGGAATCACATTGTTAATGAAGTTAAATATTTTTTTAAATGTAACCTGAATTTTGGATAGGAAATTTTTAACATTGCAGCTAATTGAATACATTTCTAACAATAACTGCAGCCATATATTTCGGAACACTTGATGAAATTGAAAAACAATGGTGATTACCTTAATAATGCTTTTTAATGGTTCTCCGAAATCCACAAATGACCAGCTATCTAGTGTTCTATAGAAAAGCATCATTTTAATGATTGAACTATCATCAAATATTATTTGGTCCATATTTTGAGATACAATATATGGACCAAATAATATTTATTTTCTCAAGAAGCATCTTTTTTTCCTCCTTAGTACTATGCTTTCTGAAGGTGTCTTTCATTACTTTCTACACCTGTATAAGCTTCCAGTATAATCCATGAGAACATATCCTCTTGCACTGCCCTTCTAATTATAATAGTCATATTATTTAAAAAATACTTCCATATTAATGGAAAATAGTTGAATTTATCTCACTTATATGGTGTTGATTAGTTGGGTTCTACTTTCTATGGCACATTCAATTATTGAACAAAAGCGACCTTGTTACCAATACTAGCCTTGAATTCTAAAATACTCAACAAAACTATTTTTTGTTGTCAACTTGAAAGATTTATGAAATATCTATATCGTATGCTGTGTTCACAGATGCTTTTGTTTGCAAATAACTTAGTTTGCATACAGAAGCATTTAGCAAAATTTTGTTTTGATTTGCAAGCTGTGTTGTGTGACCAACATGGCTGTCTTTCCCACACAAACACAAACATGACTATCTTTGCCAAAACTGTGGAACAAATTAAGTTGGTGAACCGAGGCACCACTATTTTATGTTAACTTTCAGAGATTAATTTTCACTGGTACTACTTTGTCAGGACCAAAGAGTTCTAACAACTATTTCTTTGTCCTTAGTAGAAGAAGGCTGTATCAAAATTTCTCTCAACTTTCTTGAAAAACAAAAACAAATACAAAACAAAACAGCCACTTTTCACTGATATTTCAATGTCAATAAATTCTAAAAAAACATTACAATCAACAGAGTTCGTTCACTCTCACTGAATAGTTGTTTAGAGTCTTCAGTGTTCACCCTTATATTTTCTCCTACACAATTCCACAGAATATCATTGAGGCTTTTTTTTCCTGAGAAGCTGGAATATACATTACAATTCTAGAGTAATTTAAAAATCACCGATTTAAATTTTCATAATAAACCTTGAGTACAATAATTTTATAATTACCATAAAGATTAAGATAATAGAATTGCTATTCTTTTTAAGAAATACATCAAAATATCCAATAATTTTCCATTTCAAATTTTCATATTTGAGGATGTGTACTTACTGCAAGAATTTTGTTATTATAAAAGTATTTCTGAAATTTTTCTTTTGGAGTTTTTATTAATCCTAGATTGTGATGATGATATCAAACAAAATTGTTTTTGCAAATAGTTTTCCCAAAAAGTTTATAGTGTAATAATGTGTATAGTGCAGAGTATAGTGTAGTTCATTATGTATCTGTTGTCTGGTTGCTTGTTTTTCTAATCGAAGCACAGTTATTAAACTAAGGCATACATCTTATTTATTTAGTTTAGTATGCTATCATTTGAATATTTGAGAAAAACAAGCTCATCATGAAAACATGAAATGAGGTGTTCTTTTTGGATATAGTTCGATTAATCTGCTTTCAGCATCAGCCACATCATTTAAGTAACACAACACATTTCACTTAGCATCTGAAATTTCTTTTTTCAGAAATTAGTATTCAGTGCTTCAGTGAATTAAAGTTTTCTCAATTGCTTCTCTGAAAATTATTGACTTTATGTAAAGAATAATTGCACTAAGGAATCATGAGAGGCATTTGATTTGATTCACCAACATAGGGTGTCTGCTCTCCTATCCTAGCAGCAACTCTAGGAGCAACACGCTGAAGAATAATATAGAATTTATACTAATTAACTATGTATTAAAAATCTTAAAGTAGAGAGTATTTGAGGAGTTGAGAAAATCTTTAACTTC